GCAGACACAAAATAATGTGACATCACAAGGATGGAGCGATCGGGAAAAGCGCCCGAGGGATGTGGCGCCTGAGCTGGCCTTGCAGGTGGAGTCGGACTTGAGTGGGTATGGCCGGCGCATCTGTGGGGTCAGGCCTTAGCGCGGACAGACAGCAGGGGCTGCAGGAGGAGCTGAGCCGGCCAGAGGCGGGTGTGCTGTGGGACGTGGAAGAGAGAGGAAGCTGGCGACTTTTTCTGTGGGCCCAGCCACAGAGAGCCTCGATTGCCCTGCTAAAAAGCCCGGGCTTGTGTCCGCGGTGAAATGAAATCACTGTAGCTGATGCACAAAGCCACCTGCACTCACTCCCGGGGCGGGGGAGGCGCCCAGCTGAGGGGCAAAGACAGCAAAGCCCAGCGGTGCCTGCCCGTGGCCCCAGTCTGGATGCGTGCAGCTGGTACTGGGAAGCACTGGAAGGCAGCGGGACACACAGGAAAAGGCTTTCTTTTCCTCCAGCCCCAGCCTCCAGGCCTGCTCTATGGGATCTCTGCTGCTTGCCTGTTGGCCGACGGTACCTCCCGCAAAGCTCAGAACATCTCATTCTGGCAGGTAAGAGACCCAGGCCAATGCAAACATCAACCTCACGTGGACCCCCAAGCCTCGTCCTGTCAGGCCTGACTCCCGGCCCAGGGACAACGCTCTCCCTCTTCCTCCACCTTCCTCCGCCTCTTTTGGGTCTTCCTGCCCTCTCTCCACCAGGGAACTGGGGCCTTGGGGGAAGGATGGGAAGAGGGGAAACGTTCTTAAGGAGGTAATGCTGTCGATGCATTCCGTGGGGCAAGGACCCACCCGATGGCCCAGCTTGTTCTGCTGACCCGTGTCTGATACGACACCTTCCCTGTTTGAGCCCTTCATCACTGCCCACGATAGCTCAACCCACAGCCTGTTATTGCTGGGGCCCCCTTGCCTTGGCCTTGACAAAGGCCCAATGAAGGGCTCGATCCCACGACCCCGAGATCATGACCTGAGCCAAAACCAAGAGCTGGATGCTCAACCGACTGAGCCACCCGCATGCTCAGTACCTTTGGGAAATTCTAAGCACAACCACCTTCCAGAGTATTAATTTGGCTCACAGAAAATGCCACACCCTGACCAGACCAAGTGCAGGGGAGGGGGTGAGCACACACTGCTGCCCCCTCCCTTGTCCCACTGTCACCCCCAAGATGGATTCCTGTCCTCCGAGCTCTCTAGTCAAGAGGAAGGCATCAGTCTCTATGTTCACAAGTATCCCCGAGCCCTTCCAAGCACTCCCTCACTCCCTTTAGGGTGACTTGGTGTTTCTGCTGCTGAGCAAGGCATCCAGCCAGGAAGGAGGCACCAGCCTCCCTTCCTACAGGTACCCTCTCCCGAGAGGTCCAGTCTCAGCGAATGGTTCTTCTGTGGTCCTCATTTGGCCTGGGGGTGGGGGTCCTTCCCTCCTCCTGGAGGAGTGGGATAAAGCCACAGCACGGCCCCCAAGTACCCCTTATTCTTAGGAACTTCCTTCTTAAATTCCAATCTTCTGTGAATATAAGCTCGAGAAGAAATATAAGGTAAAAGTTACAGAAAGAATTCTTCTACCTTAGTAAGTTCGTGTGGGTACATCCATTAGTTCCTCTTGAACATTTGGGGGCCTCCTGGCCTCACCTTGGGGCTTTAGCCAAAATTCTAAAACAACAGGAAAGCCCATTTGATTTTCTGTTCCAGTAACGATGCTTTATAGCCAAGTTTCCCGATCTCAGCACTGTTGCCATTTGGGCCAGACGCTTCTTTGTTGTAGGGGGCTGGGCCATGCCCTGTTGATGTTCGGTAGCGTCTCTGGCCTCGACCCACTAGAGCTCCCCAGTTGTGACAACCTCTTCGGACATCACTAAACCTTCCCTGGGGGCAGGCAGGGGGGGCAGAGGAAAATGGCCCCCTGGTGACCACCATTGCTTAATAGACAAGAGGAGGTCCTTGAAAATTTTGGAGCAAGGAAGTGACATAGAATTATAATCAGGGGTGCCTGGGTGGCTCAGTCGTTAAGCATCTGCCTTCGGCTCAGGTCATGATCCCAGCGTCCTGGCATCGAACCCCGCATCGGGCTCCCTGCTCAGCAGGAAGCCTGCTTCTCCCTCTCCCTCTCCCCCTGCTTGTGTTCTTTCTCTCACTATCTCTGTCAAATAAATAAATAAAATCTTAAAAAAAAATTATAATCAAATGCCATTTGGTTGGTTTCACTGAATGGGACAAACAGGAGTGGTCAAGGCCAAGAAATGTCTACCATACAGATGACACCTTTTCAGTCATCCCTGCTAGGGTATGAAGGGCTGTTGTGAGATGTCTCACTGACTTCCACTCAGACCATCCGAGGAAGGTAGGGGACCGTGACACTGATGCAGTGTAAGCCTGGAGGGTGGGGGCCCCGTGGGGGGAGGGCAGGAGGGCTGAGGAATGAAGGTGTGAAGAGGGGTGAGGCATAGGGACAACGCTCTCCCTCTTGGTGGGAGGGCTTATCCCCGGAGTCTAGGACTTTCTTTTCAGAACAGGAATCTTGTAGAAATATCTGGATCAATAATAGTATAACTACAGTTAATTGAGAGCTCACCACGTGCCATGTATCCATTATAGATCACCCCGTTTTGTTCCCTCGACAACCCTGGGAACAAGTGTCATTATTAGTCCCTGTTTACAAAGTCAAACACGAAGGTCTAGGAGGTGAAGCCGCTGAGAGATCAGAGGTGGAGTTCTAACAGTGGTCGGGGCACACGGGCGCCCTCGTGGGGGAGCGTGGCAGCTTCCTCGGGACGCGGGCCTCACGGCTCCCACAAGCTTCCCCCGACACTCTGCACTGTCAGTGCTGCTGGGGGGCTGGGGGGCTGATTCCCACTGTACCGAGGAAGATACGAACGAGAAGAAGAGTATAAAGCAAAACTAGAAACCACAACTTGGTGATTCCTTATGTAGAAGTAGGTTGGGCGATCCTGACCAGGCTGTGGAATGGGATGTTCTAGTAATCTCCTCAAAAACCTGAGCCCAAAGTGGGACTCGATCCCGGGACCCTGAGATCGTGACCTGAGCCGAAGGCAGACGCTTCACCAACTGAGCCCCCCAGGTGCCCCTTTAAAGTGTGCATTATTACTGACATTTACAAATAAGGGAAAGAAATAGGAGTCACCGAGGTTGAGCGGCCTCCCCGCAAACACAGGACCACCAGCCGCTAGACCCAGGAGCAGGCTCTGGCGGGCTGTGTCCAGAATCCAGCCTCCGTTCACCCAGAGCCTTGGCCCTGGCTCTACGAAAAGCCTGGGGAACACGAGGCTGAGTCCCTTGGTTTTGTTTACCTGTGTCATCAGCCTGGGTGGTGGCTCTCAGCAAACACTAGTCAGCATTGATAGGACAATGTGTTCTCTCCACGGCTGACTCCTCTTGTTGGGGAGGTGAGCAGAACGAGGAGGGTTTCTCTCTGGGGAAGCTTCTTGTGGTTGCTGTGGAGTCGAGCCTTAAGGAAGATTGAACATCCACTCAGTGGCTCATCTTGGGGTGGGAGGGGAATGGGGTCAGGAAGGAGATGGCCTCTGGGGCCCCAAATGTCACGGACCCAGCCTGGGGAGAGATGCCTACTCCTCTCCGGCCAAGCTCAGTGGGGTTCTAGGACAACAGTTCTGGGGGACATGGACTGATGGATGGGCAGACACCCTGCTGCATCTTCATCAGGCTGTACTCCGCTCCAGGGATCAAGGATCAGAATGGCACTCGGGCTCCCGTGAATGGTTGGCCACGGTGAGTTCCCCTGGAAGCCACATGTTACCATAAGGCAGTCGAATGTGGCCGGTGAGCTACACTGGCAGAAAGGGGGGGCCAGGGAGCCTACGATTAAGTCTTAGTCTCCCCCACTCCAGTCATTTTCATCATGGTTCACGGTAAACTTAGATAAAAAAGAGAAGGGGAAAAAAAACAGCTTAATTAAGATTATCATTCCATTGCTTAATGTCCAAGGCTAAGGGATCCCTAAACTTTCCCCAGGAATAAAACAATTTTAATTTCTCCAAAACTGTATGACCATGGATGGATGTATTTGGACTGGAGAGTTAGCTCTAGGGTCTTCTGAGAGGACAAGTGATGGATGGGGAACGAGGCAACTGCCATCCACAATGCCCTTTAGGAAATTCATTCCAGTTACGTGGACCCCAATTCAACAACACACGTTTACTATGCATCTGCTGTGTGCCAGGCCCTAGATCAGGTTCCTGTGGTACAGAAAAGGTAAGTAGGACTGCTATGGGCAGTTGTTCATGTTGTACACTGACAACCCTAGGGGGTGTCATGTAAATCATAGTATAAATTTGTGTATCCATTATGTCCTATTCCTGCAGATGGCAGGATGATGACTCGAAGAAGATGGGCTATATATACAGTCTAACTGTGGTGTCAGACATAGTTTCTGCCCTTGAGGAGCTTACTGTCCGGCAAACAGTAGGGCTCCAGGACCACCAGGAAATCATAGGCTGGGAGAGGTTTTCTCTTTCCATTTTAAGAACAGGCTATGTAAAGTCAGATAATGGTGGAAAACAAATTAGGTGTACTCTGGTCTTTTTGCTGGTTAACAACAGAAAATTCTTTTCTTTTGTTACTACCTCCTATCAACTCCCAGGATCCAAGAATCTTCTTCCATCAAGGGAGCATCTTCCCTTGGCCTTAGCCTCAATTGCTCCCAAACAGGACAAGGCTGTTTGTACTCATTATCCTTAGGGGGAAGAAAACAAACACAAAAAACCAAGCTGACTCTGAAAGACCATGTTTCTTCCCAATCTTGCCGGGGCAGGGCGGGGGCGGGGGGGGTGGCTGCTCTGAGGCAAAGCGCGCTGTGCCCGATTTAGTCTCAGGGTGCCGACCGTGGGATTTACTATTTCAGGACCCCAGCCCCATTCCCCACCCAACAGCTTTCCTCCCCCCGCTGAGAACACTTCCCCATAGCACAATAACACACCCCGTGCTCCAAGCAGTGCCAACATCATATATATTATTTTATTATTCGCTCGTTTGCTTTCCATGGCAAGTGAAAAAATAATTTAAACCAGTTATATGTACAGAGGCTTGGTTCGTTTTTCCAAGAGCTTCCAGAAAGAACCCCAGCCCCTCAGATGGCAAGGAAGGGCTTCCTTTAACATCTGTACAAAACTCCACCTATAAAAGTCGCACATGTAGAAAGGTTTCTTTATTGTAAGCATCACATTTGTGGAACAGGAAGGGGTCAGGGTGGGAGGTGGGGGAACGTGTGCAGGGTGGGGGTCCACACACACCGGCCCAGGGGTGGTCCTGGTGGGGGGGGGGCTGCGGCTGGGGGCGTTCAGGTGATCTGCAGCGGGGTCTCTAGCATCTCCATGAGGAAGGTGTCGATGGGCGTGTCCCCGATGAGCTTGAAGAAGAACAGGTGCTCCAGGCATTTCAAGCCGATGGAGCGCAGGGCTGGGAGGCGCAGCAGCAGCTTGGCGAACCTGCAGGGAGGCCGAAGGGGCGTCAGGAGCCGGGAGCGGCCGCTTGGGGGTCTGCTCTCCAACGCGGGGTGGGAGAGGGAGCCGGGAAGGGCCACGGAGGCAGCCGGGCAAGCTCCAATCCTAGGCAGCTTCCCTCCTACCTCCCCGGCGGACTGCGCTGGCCTCACGCCTCACTACCCGCCCCAGGACCGCGGGCCGGCCCAGTTGCCACCGCTTGTTATCGACGTGCAAGCAGCTGTTACCAACACGCGGACTCAGCTTCCCTCTCAGTCGGAGCAGAGGGCGATCCAGTGCGCTCCTCTCTGCCCCTGAGGGGCCGTGGTCTGGCTGGGAGACAACACACACACGTGCGACAGAACCCCACCACGGGCACACACGCACACCCAGATGCACACCCCCACGTGCCTGACACTTGTCACGCATACGCACGTGTGCTCACACGTACACACCCACACATATTCCCACACGGGTGTGAACATGCACACACGTAGCCCCACCACTGTCACACATGCACACACTCACACATGCACACCGGCCTCACACATGTCACACATACACACACGGGCGCACACACACACGTGCACGCACACACTCGCACACTCTCATGTGGGTGTGCATGCGACAGGACCCCACCACGGGCACACACGCACACTTGCACGTACACACCAGCCTCACACATGTCACACATACACATGTGCACACACAGTCCCACATGCACACCCTTATACACAACCATACACACCTGCCTGACGCGTGTCACACATACACACACGTGCACAGTCATACATACAACTCACACATTCTCATACATGCTCACACGTGCCCTCACCACTGCCACACGGGGGTGCACACACACACACACTCCTACACACCCTCACATGCATGAGCTTGTGCACACACGTACACACCTACACACTCACATTCTCCTACGCTCTCAGCGTCCTCGTACACGTGCACACTCACACCCGGGCTTGCCCGCATTCCTGCACACTCCTGTATAGTAAAGGACCTTGGCTGTGAGGTTCACCACAGGGAGGGAGGCCAGTGTGCAAAGAATTCGTCTCACATGTGCACATCCTCTGATGCCCCTCAACCTGCCATGTCTTCCATCCTGCCTCAGTGGTCATTCTTCGTCTCTCAAAATCCTTTTTGCCAATGAAGCTCATTTTTTAATGTTATTAACAACAACTGGAAATCAGTAAGTCGTAACTTCCAATAAAAGGAGAAGGACCAAAACTATATCAGCCACTCTGGCCTTAAATCAGAGACTCTGGTTAGGCTGGATCTTCAGTGAGCATCACAACATTATTTCATGAGTGAGTTTCAAGTTGGAATTTTAATACTCCTTGAAAATGTGTATATTTATATATTCACACCCCATAAAGGGTTAAGGAACTGGGGTAATATAAGAAAGATGAAATGGCACCATCTAAAAAGGTAGGCATCACTTCTTTACATGGAAAAATTAAAGGTCTACACCAAGGCCCACACAACCCTTCAGAAATTGTTGATGATAAAGCTTCAGAGCGCATCTGCATGATGTCACCAAGCAGGAAGATGCAGTTAGATATAAACGCCGAGCTCCTGGTCCTAACTCTGCCACGGAAGAGTTTCAGGAGATTAGGGGAAGGGAATGGCTTCTCTGCAATGTACAAAGTTAGGCTGAGCTGTAACTCTGAAAATGTATTTATATTTAGAATGTATTATACATTCTAAAAATGCCAAAGTTTTACCATACGTAAAATGTTAAATACACGAGGATTTAGCATTCTCTTAGCGTTTCTTCAGCATGTCTTTGCTGACTGCCCCTGATTGGGGAACTGAGATCAGGACCGTGGAAATAAGCACGACCATGAAAAGCCACAGCCTCGGGGAGGGCGCCGTGTTCCTCCCTCACCCGCTGGCTGCCCCAGCGTGGGACAATGTGCGCACAGCGGGCAGGCGCTGCGTCCTCCCGGATTTTCTCTTTGCTTTCAGGCTACAGAAAGCAGAACTCGGCCTCTGCGAAGTGTACTTCTGAAGAGTCTCCATGGGGTGGCAGCCCTCCACCGCTGAGAGCTCTCCTCGACCCAGTGCCAGGATCCCCGTCCACCACTTTTTGCAAAGTGGAGGTGACCAGCCGTCCGCACACTCACCTGCCTGATTGAGCCAAGTGACACCCCTGATGCACCTGGTCACCCTCTGTCCAGGCTGCATTGGATGCGCCCGAGAGACACGCAGAGGGCCCAGCCTCTACACCCCGCCCCTACACCCTCAGGTTCTGCCCTCGTCCAGCCAACAAGTAGGCAGCCCAGGCCCCTGGTAGTCCTGTTCCTAGGAGAACAGGCAAGTTCCAAAGTTTTGAAAGTAATATTCAGTAGAAACAACCTAAATGTTCCACAGGACAAGGGCTAAACACACAAGGATACATCCACCCTGTGAAATATTACAAAATCACGGAAAAGGATAATGTACTTTTCAGTATCTGATAAAGTGCCTAAAATGGCTAAGAGAGGAAAACAATAACCACCTGTATGATTTTTCTCTCTGTAAATACACACTTCTATGTACAGATGCATTGATACACAAGGATACTGGAAAAAAAATATACCACCCAAAATTTATGATTCATTTTATTACCTACTTTATTTCTTAAATACTTCCCTTATTCCCCACAAAAGCATGCTCTGCTTTTATAATAAGGAAAAAGACTGGTTTAGAGTTTTTTGTTGTTTTTTTTAAGATTTTACTTATTTATTTGTCTGAGAGAGATCCAATGGAGCAGCAGGCAGAGGGAGAAGCAGGCTCCCCACTGAGCAAGGAGCACAAGGCAGGACTCGATCCCAGGACCCTGAAATCATAACCTGAGTCGAAGGCTGACACTAAACCGACTGAGCCACCCAGGTGTCCCTCAGGTGTCCCTAGGGTTTTTTTTGTTTGTTTTTTTAAGAGATAAATAATAGAACCTAGAGACAATTCGAAGAAAAGGATGAGTATGAGCCTTCTTACTCCTAATGCCCTGCACACAACAGGTACTCAAAAAAACATGCTTAATGCGGCCTTCGAGCTAGAAGATTCAGTAGAAATCATCCACTACCAGGCCCTCAGGTAGCTCTCACCAGCCAGCGCTGAGCAGCCAGTCCTGTCTGTTGGGTAGAGCTCTGTAACATCACCTATTGCAGAATCCGTTCTCCAGAATCCTTCATGACTCGCTGGGCCATGTGACTGAGTTTCAGTCAATGGCAGTGAGTGAAGGGATGGGGGACCTTTCCAAGGCCAGGTCTGCCCAGATAGCCTCACCTCTGTGTTCCTCCCCCACACTTTCCCCTTCCATCATCCGGATGCAGAACAGGATGTGGCTCTGGGACACGGTGGAGCCCCAAGAAGGAAGGAGTGGACCCCTGAGTCTTGGTGCAGAAGAGAGCCAGCTCTCCAAACGGACTGCCCACCCAGGACTGACAGGTGAGCAAAAAATACATTTCTCTCGTGTTCAACTACTGACAATTGGGAGGTCTATTACCCCAGCTTAGGCTCCTGACCCCTCAAGGCCTGCATATGTGTCGTACTGAAGGCCTGAAACCCACCCTCTTGGAGTTAAATAAAAAACTCCAATAAAAACCGGAGCTTGACTTCTTCTGGACAATTGATACATACTGGCTTAGGATCCAGAAAAAACAGCTTAAATGGAAATTAGACTTCACGATGAGTGAGAATTCAGAGCATGTAATATTAATCCTAAAAGCAAAACTTATGTCTTTAAGGCAGTTTTGTCAGTTTCATTTTCGGACTTCTGTGAGATCTGAGGAGCGCATTCTCTCTATTTAACTGGAGTTAGCCGAGGAGGAACACTTTTGTTTAGCTGTGCTTTGGGGGAAACATTTGAGAAAAGTTTTTTTTTTTTTAAACGACTCAGAACACCTAAACGGGTAGATGGCCTCGGAGATCTTCTGACCAATGTCCTCCTCTTTATACAAGGAGCCCAGAGCCAGAGCCAGCACCTTGCCAGATGCCACACAGATGGCCCTGGGGGACAGGGGTCACGTGTCCCAGCTGCCCTGGAGCTTTTAGCTTCTAGCTAAAAGGGCTTCCATGGGGCAGAGCAGAAAGCAAGGCCTGGAAAGCACAAGCTCTTTGAAATCAGACAGACCTGAGTTCACATCCCAGCCCCACTGCACACCAGCTCCGTGATCTCGGGCAACTGCCTTATCCCTTTGGAGCCTCGGTGCCTTGTTAGAAACTGGAGATAATGAGGCCCACGTTCATTTGTTCATTTGCTTGTTCATTCAACATTGAATGCTGTATACAGGGGCGCCTGGGTGGCTCAGTCGGTTAAGCGTCTGCCTTCGGCTCAGGTCGTGATCTCAGGGTCCTGGGACCGAGTCCCGCGTCTGGCTCCCTGCTCGGCGGGGACCCTGCTTCTCCCTCTCCTCCCTGCTCGTGCTCTCTCTTGCTATCTCTCTCTCTCTCAAATAGATAAATAAAATCTTTAAAATAAATAAAGCTGTACACTATGTGTCAGGCACGTCTTAGGCTCTGATTCTGGAGTGGGGAACGGCGCACAAGATAAGACCTCTGGTTTCATGAAGCCAATGTTTTAGCAGCTTTCAGCTTGTTATAAAGATTAAATAACACGTGAAAGACCTAGACAGTGCCTGCTGCGTGTTGCCATGTATTCAGGGCAAGTAGGACGCATCACTGCTGCCATAAGATTCTTCCAGCCCCCCCTCACCTGCCAGGTTGTTCCGGATACTTCTGCTTTGTGTAGGCCTCGAGGGTAGCATAAACCTTCTCTCGCAGAGTCTCCACCTCCGAGGGGTTGGACAGCCCCTTGGCATCTGGAAAAGATGACTGATTTAGCCTCGGGTGACACAGGTCAGGTGGACCCCCTTGCACAGGGGGCTGTCCCCATCCACTCAGGCCTCTGCCCCAAGAGTTACTACAGACGGGGAACAACAGTGAAAAAACAAAGCTGGGGGTCCTTTGTGCCCCCAGCTCTCCTCTCTGTGCCCAGTCTACCCAACAGACTCTTGGAACAAAGGTATAAAACCCTGTAAATAGCCAAAGGCACCCACTGCTGACCCCAAGGAGGAGAGTTTTATTTTATCCGATCATTCTAGAAATATTACAGTCACACATTTACTGAGTGCCTACTATGTGCTAAGCACGGACAGGATGATGAGATGGGGTACAAAAACCAACTCCACTCACATGCTGCCTCAACTCACTAACAACCTAATTCATGAGATGAAGCATGGGCCTCAATTACCATGGAATTCTGAACGGTCATCTTTCTTGACCCACGGCAGCTTTGGACAAAGCTGATCACTTCCTCCTTCTCGAAAAACATTTCTTCCCTGGGCCTCCAGGACACCCTCTTCTGCTTCTCTCCCTGCCTCTCTCTGTCCTGTCTCAGGCTCCCCTGTTGGCTCTTCCTTTTCTCCCCAGCCCCTACACGAGGGCTCACCCCAGTGCCCAGCCCCCAGCCCCCTTCTCTGCCCAGCCTTTACTGACTCCCACGTGCACTGACCCCTGTCTCAGAGCCCCACATGCCAGGCAGAGGCCGACAGCCCTCAAATGCACATCTCCGGTCCTGACTTCTCCTCTGAACCCCAGACTCATAAACAAGACTTTCCTGGCCGGCTACTCTTGGATGTCTACTATCCACCTGAGATTTGAATGCACAAGACAAAGTCCTAAATCCTACCCACTCACTCTTAGGACCCCCATCTCAGCAAATAAAACTCTGTCTTTCCAATTACTCAGGAAAATGAAACAAAACGTGCTGAGAATTGCATTTAACACTGCTTTTTCACACACTATCTCTAATCCATCAGCAAATCCCACTGGCTTTGCCTAAAACTATATGTAGAATCTGACCACTTTTTACCACCTCCTTGACCCTGACCCTAGAGGCCGCTATCCTCTCTCGTCTCCCCCACCTGCCCCCAAATATGCACACTCCAGGCCCATTCGAGACGCTTTCAAGATGGCACTAGTAGAAACCATGAAGAATCAGCTTCCCGCCTTTGCCAAGGACAGGTTCCTCGGCCCTGCCTTGTCTCGGCTGAGCTAGAGGACCAGAGGATGTCAGAGCTTGGAGGCCAAGCACAGAGGAGGGCGAACCACTGCACATCACCTGGGTTAAACAGCACGATGGCTCGCAGGCACCCCAGCTCTGACTTGTCCATCTGCATGTCTTTCATTTTGGAGACCAGTTCAGTCAGGACTCTGTTCACAGGAAAACAATGAGAGGCAATGAGAAAACCATGAGTCCCAGGCCAAGGGCTGATACAATGAATGCAACCAAGACTTCTTATGCACCCACCCCATTTTCCAGATGATGCGTCAGGTACTAGGGGCACAGAGATGAATAGGATGCCGTCCCTGATCTCAAGGAGCTCACCGTTTAATTGAAGAAACAGACATGGAAACAATAGGTAGCAACATAAAGCCAACAAATGCCAGGAGCCAAGTCCAAGAGAACACCCAGGGGGAAGCAGCGGGGGGGCGGGGGGGGCTGGACACTCTGCTGGGAGGGCTGGGAAGGCAGCCTAGAGGATTTAGAAATGCAACAGGCAAAGCAGGGCGAGGGTGTGGCATGTCTGGAGGAAGAGGGCAGAGGGCAGCATCCAGAGACAGGGTAGAAATCTCCAGGGGTCACGAAGAGGGCTGAGTCGGCCAAAAACCACATTGGTCTCTGCGTGGACCGTGCAGCGGGAAAGGGCAGGGAAGGAGCAGAGACACCTTGCGTGGACATGCACATGGCCTGGAAGATCATTTTTCGTGGAAATGGAAAGGGGCCATGGGGCCCTGGCTCCAGACAGAGAGGCTATTTTCAACCCTAGCCTCCTCTTTACCAGCTCTCCATCCCTTTGTCCCAAGTCATTCACCCCTCCTCGTTTCATTCATCTCTTTAAATCACATGCCTTCATTTTCCTTTCATGCCACTTAAGACAGAGAATCCCAGAGCGAGGCTGCAGCCGCCTGACTGAGGTGGGTCTGCTCCTGCTGCAGACCTTCCCCAGAGATCCTGCTACAGAGTCCAGCAAAAACCTCAGCTCATCCCTCCTGCCTCAAGTCAGATCCTGGCTGCTGCTTGTCCCTAGCCCGGCCTCCTACGATAAGCAGTTCAACCTCCCCCACCAAACCTTCGAGGTAATGTCCATGATCCAGTCCCTCCTTTGGAGACCTCTGGAGATAACAGGTTCTCCCTTCTGCCCAGCAACTCTGCTGGTCCCTGACAGGCTCCATCAAGTCGTTTCAAATGTTCTTGTAATCCACCTGTCATTCCCCAGGGGTCTGTTCGAGTGTATTTCATGGTCTCTGCTTCTTGCCCCATGCAGCTGTTAGGGTGGTCTGTCCTGCATCCCAGCACTACCCCCAGGCCCACACACTCACACACACACACACACACACACACACACACACACACTGGAAGCAGAAGAGAGCCACCTGTCAAAGATGGAGCCAACCCCAGCACTGTGGGCACTGCTCCGGTGGACGTGTAAGCCCGTGGCCAGGAGAATGCCATCCTGCACAGAGACGGAGCGGTGGGAGAAGGAGGCAATCAGCAGCTCATTCCACCCTGCGGGGAGAAGAAGGAGGCCTTGAGGGAAAACTGACCACATTCCTGCTTCACTGATGATCATCCAGGGGGCATGTATTGTGACCCGCATGGAACAAAAGCAGAATCAGAAATGCAGGGAGGTTAAAAACCAGCTCCGGACAACACAGCTAATTAGTGAAGAAACAGGGTAAGACTGGGGGCCCCTGACTCATGGCCCTGCACATCCCCCACCGTCTCCCCAGTACAGGTCAGAATGGCAGCTTGTGGACAAGGACTTTTTCCCCCAGCCAACACCTATGAACTGAACATTGAACAGGTAACAGTCAACGTGTTAGCTGCCCTGGTGGATAACGCGAGGGAGTATACCTCGCAGCCTCTGCCCCCAGGACCTGACAACCCAGTTTTATTTCTTTGGTGTTGCCTGGCAGCACCCAGCACAGCCCGGAGCTTCCGGTCAGCACTCAGAGCCTGCTCGTTGTCTCACAGGGATGAAATGAGCGTCTGGCTCCCAACGCTCAGCCAGTCTTCACGACATCTCCCCGCTGGCCTGGTCACCAAGAGGAGGTGTGGCATGTGTCCCCTGCACAGTGTCCCAGAAATGGAAGCCAAGACAGCATACAGCACACAGAACCTTAGCGTAGGAAGGGACCCTGGATAAATGCCCTTGAGCAGACAACCTCTGACTTCTCTTACCTCATCTGTGAAATGGGAATTCCTCTATTTCCCGACAGTATGATAACAAGGAGGCACTGCTTTAGACTGCCCTCGATAAAATTGACTTAACTGTCTTTGAAAATTAAACGCAAATTATAAAACCACGGTAAAATTTGCACGGAAGAAGAGCCTCACCCTCCACTAATGATGTTTCACTTGGGAATAGAAGTTGTGGAGGAGAGGCCACCCAAATGTAAGAGCCTATAATGAACAGAAAAAGAACAACTCTGACTAGGGTTATCCTGTCATCACCATGGCACACAGCTCAGACGGGTCACAGCTTCATCAGCTGACTTGACTTAGGATCCCAAGGGTAATTTCAAAATGGCAGCCCAAGTGATTGTCCCAAGAAAAAAACAAACCCCGATGTCCTTTACCTGCCCGGAGCAGAATGACCTGGTCCTCCAAGGTGAGGTCAGAGAAGTGGGGGATGCGCTTCGCCCATTCAACAAGTGTGAAAAGCTGCTTATCAGCAGCATGGCATATGTTGGTGACAGGGTCATTTGTCTTAAAAAAAACAAAAAAACAAAAACCAAAGCGCTGTGAGGGGCAGGCTCCAGGACTCTAGCACACCCCTTTCCCATCTCCAGCCCCGCCAAGGACTGGGAGGTGGATGGAGGTCTCAGACCACATACCGAGTTCTCCAGGTTCATATCACCGTAGGATTCTGTCTTTGGTTCGACAGCAAGTTCAGCTTCTAGAATCCTCTCCACAGGCATATCGTCATGGCCACTACCGGCACATTCTGCCTCACTCTCGGCCCGCTCCCGGCTCCTCTGCCTTTCTTCTTGCACAGCTGGTACACAGGAAGACATGCAGATATCACCACATGCCCAGGACAACTGTGGCAAAGCAGGTTACCTTCTGGAACTTCCACTGCCTCATCTGTAAAATGGGCATCCTCATGGTCCCCGATCAGAGATGTCGTAATGTTGACAGATGAAACACAGCAAGCAAAGTGATTTGCTTATGCACATGTACACCTGCGGGCTCTTTAGTCCGTATCCTTCCTGGTTCATTATGGAGGAGTCTAAGGAGTTTGCATTGCAAATTTTAAGAACCTCTGATCCTGCCCTCTCTTTTAAGGAGCCACTTCTTCCTTGGTCTTTCAAGGAGAGTCTCCCGTGTTTTACCTCTAGCTGCTCCCTCTAATGAACTGTGGGCATGCCATGGTTAAGTGGCAATCGCATTACTTCGAAAATTCCCTCTGTCAGATCCTATGCATCATGCTTGGCATTCACATCCCATTAGGTCTGCCCCTAATGCTCCAGCCTGAACACAACATCACCTGATCCAACTTGTCAGGGAAGATCTTCAGGGAGCCATGAAGGTATTTAGTAAGTGAAGAGGTGGAGGAATGTCACCTAGATGACATCTCAGAGTCAGCAGCTGATTTTGGGGGTGGGGAAGGGTACACAGCAGAGGTGTGGGCTGGAATGATCTCTGCCCCTCCACCCTTAGGGTTTTCACCGAAGTTCATTCTAACCCTCAGAGCCCTAAGGGTCTATACGTGAGGAGGTCAGGCAGACCCCCTTCCCAATTCTGTCCTCTCTGTTGACAAACATTTTCTGTTGGGTTAGTTTCCATAATCTAGAAAGCTGTGGTTTCCATCTTCCTATTCCCAGCACTATGGGGCAAAATTCAATATTGGTATACTTTTTTTTTTTTAAATCCCAAGAATCAAGAAAATTATCCTCTAAGCAGGTGACTAATCTGGATCTTGAAGGGATAATGAGGCACAAAGGCTGCAGAATGAACTGGAACCAGATGCTGGGCATCCAGTTTGTCACACAAGTGATGTCAGTGAACTGTCAAGGTAGGTCAGAGAAGGGTATGACTGGAAAAACACAACTCACATCCAAAGTCTCCAGGAGAGATACCCGAAGACACCTCAAGATGAGAATGATATTCAGTGGTTGAGACGGAGGGAGAGAGGGTCAGAAGGAAGGAGTAGAGGGAGACATGGAATAAAGAGAATAAAGCAGGGCAGTGACAAAAAGAAGAAACAGAAGGGAGAGAGAATAAAGACAAATTAGGAAAGAGGAGAGCAAAAGTCATGTACTTTGGAGTCCAAGAAGTCTTTTTCAAAATGGGCTCTACCACTTCCTAGCTAAAGGACATTGAACATATGACTCAGCCCACTCAGCCTCAGTTTCCCTAATGTAAAGTGGGGATTACCATACTTGAGTGAGGTTGTTTGGGGAAGATTAAATGAAATAATTATAAAAAGATCCCAAAAAGGTAGTTTTCCCTTCCCTTTGTCTCTGTTTGTGCTCCTGAACTTCTGTCTGGTCCTCTCTCCATCTCCCCTTTGGACCTCTTCCTCCCTCTCCTTGTTTCTCTTCCTCCCTCATCCTTCTTTCTGGACCACTCTGTTAGTCTTCACCCACTGATGGCATACAAACATGACCATATGTATTTTTATTATCAGCTGGATTGACTGGTTAAAGTTGAGTGCTTCTTGTATTAATTGTCTTAACATAGGTTAATAGGCTTCCATTTGTCTTGATTTTAAAAGATGGGGAGAAGCAAACTAAGTTAAGTTTCCTTTACGGTCCTCAATTGATTTCTTCTACAGATTTGTAACATGGAAGGAGAATAACCTTCAAGCTTCAGAGAAAATAACCTTGGCTTCCGGAAAGTAGATTCTAATTCCAATCTTGCCATTTAATCGAGTGATCCTTTGCTATTCCTCTCTTCTCTTTGTGCCATAAATCTTACTGTCACATTAGACGAATCATATATCTGTTGCTGGGGGAAATCTTCTATGTGGCAGACATTCTGAGCTACCATACTACACACATTTGGGATATATCCAGGGGACACTGGGTGACCTAAAACAGTACCAAACTTGGGGCCCGTGGGTGGCTCAGTCGGTTAAGCGTCTGCCTTCGGCTCAGGTCATGATCTTGGGGTCCTGGGATCGAGTCTTGTGTCGGGCTCCCTGCTCAGCAGGGAGTCTGCTTCTCCCCCTCCCCTACTCATTCTCTAATAAGTAAATAAAGCCTTCAAATAAATAAATAAATAAATAAATAAATAAATAAATAAATAAAATCGTACAAACTCCTGCCTTCTAACAGAATTTTATCCATTAGCCCAACATACATTTATTGTACATGCACTATAATAGCCAAAATTTATGGAGTGTTCTTTTCTCTGTGTCAGGAATTATGCTCAACACTTTACATAGATTGCACTTCGTTGAATCCCCACAATAACCCTCTCAAGTACTATGAGCCACAGAGTAGTTATGTAACCTGCCAGAGGTCCCAGCACTAAGAAAAGATGGAGCCAACATGTAGACCTGGGCTGACAGATTTCTAAGCCCACCCCTCAGCCCTCCTTACCGCCTCGAGGTTCTGGGCTGGTTGTACTAATAAAGACCACACAGGGCTCAAGAGGGATGTCAAATGCAGCCCCCTGAACTCCCTCAAAAATATCCATTATCTAACTATCCAAACTCTAGTAAATGACCAGAAATCATGGAAATAGACTTCCCCAAGACCCCTGAGGGTTACCTGGTAGCTTGGAAGTCAGAGGGTCCCGGTCCTATATCAGCTCTGTCGTTAGCTTGCTCAGTAAGCTTAGTCAAGTCCCTAGGCTCTCAGGACCTTTGTTTCTTCTTTCAGGAAACAAATGTGTTACATCCGAGAATAGCAAATGTCCATTCCAGCTTCACCACTACGTATCCTGAAAAGGCAATGGGTCCTGGCCCCTGGCTCCCGACAGATACATTCTGAGTCCATCCTCATGTCCCTCCTTTTCTATCTGTTCAACTCTTCCAGAAGTATCGATTCAATAGTTTCTCTCAGCTAACTGTTCCAGATTTTTGTTATTCTTGTCCTCAAGGCAGTGTCCAACCTGAGCCCCCGATTCTGTAAATCGAGGTCAGAAATGAGAGTGGTGAAGGAAAGGCTGCCGAGCAGCTTTCTGGAAGTGGCCCTTCCTATAGTGATACCAGGGACCCATTCACTCCTTTGCCTTCTCTTCATCAGGGTAAATAGTACCAATTCCTTTCGAAATTTCTCTAAGAGCCCTTTTCCCCTCTGAATTTTTACTACTCAACTTTTCATCACTCCCATTTCTCCACATTCTTTTCAAAAAAGCAGAAGCCAAAACTAGACACTTCTCCATCAAAGTGTCAGAACAATGCCAGGTTTAAAGGAAGGACTGCCCAGGCCCTTAGAATTCACATGCCCCCATCTGACTGACGTTTTCTTTCAGGAAAGAGCCACGCTTCCTGCCCTTTGTGCGCCAACCCTCTGACGGTAACAGAGCCGAGGGCTGCTGGGGCTGAGGTTTGAGAGACAGATGGTGAGCAGCAAACATGGCTGCTTGGCTGACGGAAGCATTTCACCTGCCTTTAGTTCAATCTCACCTGCAGAAGGAAAATGATTATTTTTCCAAGTCATCCTGAAACTTATCTCATCTGTCCTGAGAGGCAAAAATGACCCCCACAGCCATCATGCTCTTGCTGATGGGAGACATTCTTTGGGGTCATTAATTTTACGTTTGACCTTCATGGTGGCAGAAGCCCTACAGAGCATCAGTTCTATCTTGGTGAAGAGAAGACAGTCTCCACCACATCACATGTTCCGATGGATAAGATCATTGACTCCTTGACAGCAAGAATGACATGAGCATGAAGCAGGCACTCAGTTAATACTTGGTGCACGAGTGAATGAGTCCTTTTAGGAGCTCGTGCATGACTAAAACTTTTGATTCCAATATTCAGTTTAAACCACTCACCCATTCATTCAGCAATTATATATTAAATGCCTACTATGTGCTAGTCACTGGTGATATAGCGGGGTGGGGGGGAAGCAGAAAAAATCCTTGCCTTGGTGGAGACAGATAGTAAACAAAATAAGTAAGTATGTTAGATACAGTGATAAACCCTGTGGAAAAGAGACCACGAAGCACCCGGGGTGCCTGATGCAATTCTAGATGCCGTAGATAAGCAAGGCTTTACCTAGAAGTTGACAATTGAGTAAAGGTCTGAAGGAAGAGTAGAAGGGAGCCACGCGGGCACCTGGGAAGTGGGCATTCCAAGCCCTCTTCACTCCAAGAGAGACAGTAAGTGCAAAACTCCTGGTGGCCCAACAGAGACCAGCAAGGCTGGACCAGACAGACACAGGACAGTCAGACCATGCACAACCTTGAATTCATAACCAGGGTTTTGCCTTTTCTCTGAGCAAGAAGGGAAGGGGCTGGAGCATTCTGGGGCAGGAAGGGTTTGACCGGAGCTACTTGTTCAAAGCCTCACTGGTTGCTCTTGGAGAGTGTAGGAAGACAAAGATGGAAGCAGGGGGAGTTCTTAGGAGCCTGTGTGGATTATTACAGAAGGTAGCAGTGGCTTATGCTGGTAGCATGAAAGTCATGAGACATGGAAAGATTCTGGACATATTCTGAGGGAGAGACAGGATTTCCTCACCCACTGAATGTGGTATATGAAAGAAAGAGGAGCCCAGTGGTTTTTCATCTGAGCAACTGTAAAAAAAAAAAAAAAGAAAGAAAAAAAAAGGCTATTTCCTAAAATGGGGAAGACGGGAAGACTACGTGATGAACAGGCTGGGAGGGCAGATCATCAGGAGCCCAGGTTTGGGTCTGCCAACTTGAGATTTCTGTCAGATAACAGAGTGAGGGCCATCCTCGTTCCAGAGCACCTCCACACCCTGGCAGGAGGGGAGGTTCCAGATGGGCTCTGATCTGGGAGGAAGAAGACCCACTCTCGGCTCATCACCTACCTGTGGGACCTTGGAAAACTCACTTCACCAATCCACATGGTTTCCTCCACTGTAGAACAATGAGTGCTATTAAATTATTCTGAAGGGCCACCTCCATCCATCTCAGAATTGCTAAGAATGTCCATTTCTTCCTTCTTGGTAGCATTCTCTCCTAGGAGGGGCTCCAAGAACCTTTTCTTCATTGATCCTTTCAGCCAGCCTCCCCTCTCCCCAGAGAAAAGAAGTTCATGGAGAATGAGGAGTTTCACCTGGGGCTGACTAAATGCCTCGCTCCTATTTCCTGGAGAGAGGCAGGACTTCCTCACTCTGAAATCTAGTGAGACGGACCTTTTACGTTATGTCCTTGCTTGAGTTCACGAGTTAATCAACTGCCCAATTCGATTCATTTGTTACTTAACAGAAAGATTTTTCGATTTTCTAAATGAACAGAAAGCACTTACAGATTTTTTTCTCTCTCTATAACAACCCAGCGAAGCCACGCTGTAAACTGAAAGACATAATGTTCTAAAAATGTACCATGATGGTCTCTCTGAATGAGAAGGCTACCCCTGATTACGGATAAAGCCAATACTCCTCCCCCGCCCAAGACCACGGAATACACCAACCTCAGATCTGTAGCAGCCCAAGGTTATAAAAGCCCAGAGAGACGACTCAAACCAGCAGGCTTCCCGCCACGAGAATTAGAGGCGAGGAGTCTGCGCCGCCCAGAAAGGCAGTTGAATGATCTGAATGGCCCGCTTGTGGGGTGGTGCCCCAACACCAGGACACCAGCTCCTGAGACGTGCTGCCTGGCTCACGGAAGAGCCAGGGAGAGGGTCCAGTGTGCGGACCATCCCCTAAGCTCCGGGACAGAAGACTGAGCACGGGGGAGGAAGGCGCGCCTGCTCTCTTTGCTCTGGGGCACCCACTGCCGGGGGCGGGGTCGCACAAGCGCCATCCTCGGGAGGTCCCGAGGGCGGGCCGGGGCCTCACCTTCCCTCTTCATGCCCATCACCAGGCACTTCTGGTAGCGACAGTATTGACACCGATTCCTTTGGCGCTTGTCAATGAGGCAGTCTTTGTTATCGCGGCAGGTGTACACAAGGTCCTTCCTTATGGTTCTCTTGAAGAAGCCCTTGCAGCCTTCACAACTGTACACACCATAGTGCTTTCCTGCTCACAAGAACAAAAGGGAACACTGCAGAGACCGTCCTCGGGTTTATCTGGCTCTTTCACTCACAAGCGCCCCCTTGGCTTTCCCCGGGGGGGGCCCTGGCACATCACCTGGGCACCAGGACGTGCCGCAAAGAGCAGCCAGCGGAGAAGGCAGGCTTGATCACAGGGACCAAACGAAGGCAGAGTAAATATGCCCTTCCTCGTGTCTCTCCCCGCCCCCCCCC